ATGAATATATTGGAAAAATTCTAAGACATTTCTGTGGACACCCAAGTATGTGGGTGCTAAAGTCCATTACATAAAATGGTGTACTATTTGCATATGACTTATGCACATCTACCTATATACTTTAAATAATCTCTAGATTACTTATAATACCAAATATAATGTAAATGCTATATAAAGAGTTGCTATCCTGTATCTTTCAGGAGATGATGACAAGAAAAAATGTCTGTATATTTTCTGTACAGACACAATTTTTCCCCAATAGTTTTCCTTATTTCTTGGGTGAATCTACAGAGACAGAACCCCTAGATACAGAAGGCCAACTGTACACTGAAAAAAAAACTTAAAAGAWTATATAAAGCAAAAACCTAACAAAACTGAAAAAAAGAAACACAAAATTTCAACATTTTCTTAGTAACTGATAAAACAAGCAAATAGAAAATCAGTAGAAATATAGAACTGAACTGTAATAGATCTAATTAACATTTATAAAGCCTCACACCAAAAACAGCAGAATAACACATTATTTTCAAGTTCCACATATTATTTATGAAGACAGACAATTGTACTCACCATAAAACAAGCTCAATATATTTAATTTGAATTAAGATTATTCTGATTGGAGCTGGAGTTTTAACTCCATGGTAGAGCACCTGCCTGGTACGTGTGAGACACTGGGTTCAATCTTCAGCACCATGTAAAAATAAATAAGTAAAATAAAGGTATTGTGGCCATTTATAACTAAAAAATATTTCTAAAAATTATTCTGAATCTGTTCTGTGACTACATCAGAATTAAACTAAAATTTAATATTGAAAATATATATCTGAAGAGGCTCTAGATATTTAGAACTTAAATAAGGCACCTGTAACTAACTAGTAGGTCAAAGAAAAAAATCACGAGGGAAATTAGGAAATATTTTAAAACTGAAAGATAATGAATATGTGATATATTAAAATTGGTAGGAATAAGAAATTTAAGCTAAATACCAAGGAATTGGACTTGTCCAAAATAGCATAAACCCATTATAGACTATTCCATTGATTATAACAAAAATACTAGGTAAACCAGATGATAACTGCCTGAGAACTCTGAAGAATAAAGAAAAGCAGGTGGATTGAAAAAGAGAGTAAAAATGAAAAGGAGGACTGTAGAAATGAGTTTTCAGAAGTTGGTCCCCTTTTCCTCTGACCCCAAGGTGGGCTCTAGTCATGGTCCCATGGGGTCTGCAGTCATGAGGGAAAAACACAAGAAGTTATTGCCAGTAACTTTGTTGAAAAGAAATGCTAAAAGTTGTCAGACCAAAGAGAGATGACATTAGAGAAAAACTCAAAACTTAAAGAATGAAGGAAGAGCAAGATACAGTAAATATCTGTATTAATGTAAAACTCTGGTCCCCTTCAGTTACTTAAAATATGTCTGTCTTTGAAAGCAAAAAAAAAAATCATAAAATTGTGTAGTGGAGAATTTGATGTGTCTAGGTGTAGGAAGGGAGGTAAAGGAACCTATAGAGTTTTAAGGCTTCTATATTTTACCTAAAGAGGTACAAGATTACCTCTAAAGAGATGAAAGTTTAGGTATGTATACCTAACTCCTACAGCACCAATGATTTTTTAAAAAGATACAGCCTGAACATCAATAGATAAATTGAAATAGAACATTAATTATTAAAAACAAATTAATCAAATAACAATATTAAAGGTTCAAATAATCTAAAAGAAGATATGAAGTAGAAAACAAAGGAACAAAAATTAGAATGGAAAACAGAATACAAGAAATCCACTTTAAATAAAAAGACAGTGATAGGTTATAAGTAAAAATGGGGAAAATGTACTGTCCTGAAATGGCTATATTATCATCAGACAAAGCAGATTTCAGAGCAAGAACTAATTTAGAGATAAAAGAAACATTTCATAAAAACCAAGGATTAAATTCATCAGGACATAACAATCTTGAATGTATTTGCACCTAACAACAGAATCTCAAAACAAATGAAGTAAAAACTGAAAGAACTCAAAGGAGAAGTAGCCAAATCTACAATTACATAGTCAGAGATTTATCAAAAGAACAGGTAGTCAGAAAACTAGCAAGGATCTAGTAGACCTGAACAACACTCTCGATCAACTTGACCTGAATAGTAGTTATATAGAATACTTTACCCAACAACACAGAATGAGCATTCTTACCAAGAACATATAGAACATACCCCAAGATAGACTGTATTTATACTTGTCCAACAGACCATTATAAAGTTTAATCACTGTAACTGAGCTCTGGCTAGTTGAAGTGACAGCCAGCTTACTAAGGAAATGGCAATCATTTGACTGGTTCATTTACCTGGCTGCAAAAAAATTAGTTATTTTCTATTTCTCACCTTTGTGTTTACTATAAATGCTGTCTGATGATGTTGTCGGCTGGAGTTCTCAGAACCAGCTCTGTAGGGCAGAAAGGCCCCTCTTATAAGAGAGGCTGATCAGTGGGTATAAGTTATAATTAGAGGCAAGAAGTTCTGATGTGCTATTGCACAGCAAAGCAATAACAATTATGTACTATACATTTCAAAAAACAAGGAGAAAGAATTTTTGAAAGTTTCATCATAAAGAAATGACAAATGTTTGAAGAGATAGATGAGTGTGTTAGCTTTCTGTTAACTATGACAAAACGCCTGAGATATAAACTTAAAGGAGGAAAAGTTTACTTTAGTTCATGGTTTCAGAGGTTTCAGTCCAGGTCAGCTGATTCTATTGTTTTGGAGCCTGTGGTAAGACTTCAGAACATCATGGTAGGGAGCATAGAATGGCAAAGCCACTTCTCTCATGGTGACCAGAAACCAATGAGAGAAGACAGGGCATGTCCCCAAAGATGTAACTTCCTTTCACTAGGTCTCACTTCTTAAAGGTTCTTTTATCTTCCAGGAGCTTCATAACCTGGTGACCAAATATTTAGCACATAGCCTTTGAGGGACATTTAAGATCCAAACCATAATATGTTAAACCTCATTTAAATATTACTATCTATCTATATATAGAAATATCACATGGTATTAATGTGTATGGTGTTTATGTTTTTATTTTATTAATTAAAATATTTTTATTTTTAAAAAAATTTTTATATCTTTAAAATAAATATTTTAAAATGAACCTGATATGGATCTGGGAGCTACTTGATTTGCAAATTTGTTTTGTTTTTCTCAAATAAATTCTACTACATTTAATTGGACCAAGAAATTTTCCTTTTATCAAAGCAAGCAAAGTATATTCTCCGATATAACAAAATTAATTTTGAAATCAATAACAGATATTTGGAAAATGATCATATTTTAATTTAGTTGTTGAGAACCTATATATTTGTATATTATTTTCCTTTTTTGTATAAAAACATAAAGTAAAACTTTAAACATTTAAATTCACTCAGAATGAAAGCTTTGTGAGAATTAAAATAATGGTAGGCCCCTCCTTATTACCAGATTGTTATCAGGGATGCTGATAAGTCCAAAGTGGGAGGGGGTGGGTGGGAGAGAAAGTGAAGACCCTTCCTAATCTCCCAGAAGGAAAAAAATCTATAGCAATCAACAGCATCATAGAATGGTCAAAGGTACATAAACTCTGCAGTGTAAATCTTCAAATTGTGAGGTGTAAAGCCAGGGTTCTGTGACTTTTGAGAAGAAAACTTGGAGAACCTGCTGTCTCTCTAGAAGCCTCTACTTGTTACTCCTTTCTTTGTTCCTACCATTGCTCCAATTTTAGAATTCCTTTCTGCTCACAGCCTACTGCTCTCACTCTTCCATAAAACATTTTGGTCAGGCCCTACCTAAGCTTAGCAGCAGCCACTCTGTTTCCAGGATCTGGCCATGAAAATAATCAGTTGACCCAGCTGTGAGAATTTTGGCAAAACACCTGACTAGCTTTATTTCTGTTACCTGTGAAATAAAAGTAATTAACTGCTTCATAGGAACAGTGACAATTAAATGAGATAATAGGTACAAAAGTGCTTTGTCAGCAGGAAAAACACCTTACAAATGACTTACTTCTGAAAGACCCCAGTCTCAGGAACTTGCTGCAGTACTCTCCTGGGATAATGCCCAAAGGTGAGAACTGAGTCAAGGTATGGCAGAAATTGTGAGCTAACCACTGAAATCCCCACTCTCTCTTCTATGATATGGAGTTGGTGCTGGGGAGGAGCTAAACCACTAAAGACTACCTTTCCCAGCTCCCTTGGCATCTAAGTGTGGCCAAGGGACTTGTTCTTGCCATGGAAATGTAAGCCACAGAGGTTAAGAAGTAAGAGTGCCTTCTCCAAGCTCTTTTCTTCTGACTGGCTAGAGGTGTATGGAAATGACCAGAACCAGATACTAGCAGATCACAAGTCAGAGGGATCTTATTTCTACATCGCAGTGTGTGAAAGCAGATAGGTATCCAATTGCAAGAAACCCCTGCTCAGGACCACTGCATGAGTATGAAATAAAAATTTATGATGTTGGAGCAATTTACAAATTTTGGAGTCTGTATGATAAGGTAGTTGACATGACCTTAACAAGTAGACTATATAGTAGTTCTGAGTTTAATTCCTTGCTCTACCAATCATGGTATTTATACCTCAGTTATCTCATTTGTAAAGTGTAGATTATAATAGTTCTTGTTTCACTGTGTTGTTGTGAAATCAATGTAATGCCCAGAAGGTTCTGATGACTACAAATGTTAATGTTGGCCATTATTATTAACAGCATAGAATTATTAGACATTATCTGAAAGTTTGCCAAACTCAGGAAAAAAAATTTCTACTTTTCTGCAGCTTATCTCCAGGGGAATACAATGGTTACTAATACATGAAAACGTTTTATAAGGGAAAATTTCAGGGCCTGAATGTTTTTCCTAGACGAGTTGTCTTTATTGAAACACAATTAACTGGAAAAAAATCTCCAAACCTAAAGTTGTAAACTCAGTTTGTACCTAAAGAGACATACCTTTCGATTTCATGATGACACGTGACTTGACCCAACTCACCTGTCTTCTCCATGGTCCCCTCAGGAAGTCAAAGAAGCTATTGCCATCCCGCTGCAGGTCTGACTGTGAGCAGCAGAGGGCAGTGCTGCGCACGAACTGCGACGCTTCTGAGCATTCCCAGGGCCTTGACATTGTCAATAATTCGGGGGTTTTCTTCCCCACACGTTCCTTACCTCTACAAGAATGGCCATGAAACTTCAGAAAGGCCTGCTTATCCTCATTGTGCTCGGCATTGATGGTTCAGAATCTCTTCTAGTATTTTGTTCCTCTGCACATTGATGCAGGCTGCCACTGGCTAAAGTGAACACCAAGGGGGAAAGTGACACAAAGGGCACAGGGGAGGGGTGGGCACGGCCCTAGCAACGGTCTTGAGAGGCAGATCCACCGACAACGGAGCCCCTGCTCTTTCCAGCGCCTGCAGACACAGCCACCTCCTCTCCTTGTCCTCCTTTCCTGAGTCACTTGACGCCCACCCGTTTCTGCAAACCATTCTAATCCATCTTCCCCCACATCATCTCCAGTTCCGGGACTCAGTCCTGTGTACCTCAGTGATTCTTAACTATCGGTGTGGGTAGGATACTTTTCAGAACCTCCTTTACGAAATTTTCTGGAAACACTAGTTCCTGGGTGCCACTCTAGGCCCCCTGAGTTGGATTCCAGGGTGGGCAAGAGTCTGAAGAAGCTCCTGGGGTCCCCGAGGCTCTGACAAGCGCCCCGCCTCACCGGCCCCCTGGTGGGGTTAGTGAAGACCTCTGCTTGGCAAATGGCAGAAAAGCCTAGAGAAGGGGGCAAAGCCTGTGGAGCTGACCTGACTCTGTGATGGACTGGTTCTCTTGCCATCCTCCTGACCCAGGGGAAAACAGGAAGCCCATGCACTCCACCGAGTGATGGTGCTGCTTTCCCAGGTAGAAGCTCACTTCTCCTGTCCTCCCCACTGTCAGTTCTCATCCATACTCTCCATCCTTTCTCCCCACTCAATGCTCAGCCTGTCTCCCCACCAACTGGCTGGAGCCCACTCTCCTTGCCTCCCATTATCCCTTCCTTGCCTCCATCTTGGTCTCCCTCTCCAGGGGCTGGGTCATTCCCTGAGCCCCATCACCTGTCTTCAAAGTGTCCKTTCTCACTGCCCCAAACAATAATAACCAAGTCTTCTCAGTTCCCTGGCTCTTGGTCATGCTTCCCCTTTTTTCTGACCCTGTCTTTGTGCTGGCCTGTGTCAATCCTCCACCATTATCCACCCATGCTCTGAATTGCCCCCTCTTCGTTTGTCCCCCTTTTTTTCTGACATGCTAATCTGACACTGTGTAGCCTTAACTTTAAATCTTTCAGTGCCCCCTGCCCAACACCAATTGGGCAAAACCCTAACCCCTCAGCATATCACACAAGTCCTCTGCACCTGCCCTTCTCTGTTCCTGTACTTTCTACTCCAGCAATATTCACCCATGAGCCTCTAAAGGAAATGATTGGGTTTTTCCCTGCACTCCTTTCTCCATTTTGCTTCCTGTTCATTCTATGGAACCCAGCTCAGGTGCTACCTCAGTGGAAAGTCTTCCCCGATACCCCTGGATTGGTGTGGTCATCCTCTCTTCTATGACAACCCCTACTCAGTGTCAGCTTCTCACAGTTGTACTCTCCCACTCAGAAACCTTGGAGTCATTATTCCTTCTCCCCATAATTTATTCACTTACGATTCTTTCTTGCTTTCTAAACTCTGAGGTTCTGGAGGAAATGGATGGGGAATTATTAATCTCAGAGTCTGGGGGCCCAGCACACAGCCTCACTCTCTCAGAGACTGTGGGATAGAATTGGGGCCAAGCTCGTCTCTGCCTCTTTTCACTGGTAGACTCCTTTAAAACAGCAAATTCATGCTTTTACAGTGTTTCTATGCCCATTCACCCTTTCACCCAGTAAATCTGTTTTCTTTCARAAATTTTCAGAAAGTCACTCAGTTGCCTGTCTAAAGTCTATGACCATTCACTTACCTTCTTCAGCCTCTCTGGATTATTTGCACTATTGACCACTTCTAACTTCTTCCTTGAGCTTCTCTTGACCTCTGTTGCAGATAGTCATCACTTCTGTGGCTCTCCTTCCATTTTCTTCTTGGAAGAGCACCCCAGTTTTCCTAGAGGGAACCAATCCTCTCCAATTTTCAGTTCATATGGTTTAGGTGTTGCCCTCTCTCCACTTGTGACTCCAGAGATAAACATGGACTTAACTCTAAACACTGAGCCTAACAACCTCTTGGCCACAGAGATTGGTTGTGCTGGACTGTGTCAGTCCTCCACCATGACCCACCCATGCTCTGAATTGCCTCTCTTTACTTGCCCCCTTCTCATTTCCATATAATGATGCACATTCTCATCTCCAATTCCAGCTTTTCCACAAACCCCCACCCTCACCTTTTAAATCACCTACCATTCATCATTAAAATCCCACCAAAACCTAAAACTTACCTAATACCTAATTCTTTTTTTTTTTAATATTTATTTTTTAGTTCTCGGCAGACACAACATCTTTGTTGGTATGTGGTGCTGAGGATCGAACCCGGGCCGCACACATGCCAGGCGAGCGCRCTACCGCTTGAGCCACATCCCCAGCCCTACCTAATACCTAATTCTTCTCCCCCCCCCCGAAAAAAAACAATGTTCTTCCTAATTATTCTAATTTTAATCAAGGTGTTAACATTTTCCAGTTTTCAGGTGAGGAAGTAAGAGTCGCTGTGCCAGGGTCAGCCAGACTTACAGAGACCTTCACTAGAATGGTTTGGAGGGAAATTTCCTTCCTGCTCCATAAGACAGAATGGAGCTCCCAATAGCTACTTTGTCACCATGAGAAGATTCCTGAGCCAACATAAGAAAGCACAATAAAACAGAATAAAATTAAGTCTCAACTTCTTTGACCCTTGAATTCATCAAGCCAGGACAACTGAAACTTGCCAATTACATGAATCAATATATTCATTTTTTATTATTAAACCAATTTGAGTTGAGTTCTTATCACTTATTTAAAAAAAAATTCTGACTAATTATAGTGATTAAGCTGCAGTATCTCAGGTCTCCTCCCACATTCTCCTTCTCAGACTTTAGCGTTGTGTTGTTGTTGCTATCCTCCAATCTCATGCACATAATGCTGATGCTAGTAAAAGAATTTCCACTTGCAGAATCCTGCCTGTCCAGAGCCCTCATCAATTTCTACACACCCCTCCACACAGAACACAACTAATTCTGTAACTTCAGTTCTCGTTTTCATATAATGATGCACATTCTCATCTCCAATTCCAGCTTTTCACAAACCCCCACCCTCACCTTTTAAACCACCTACCATTCATCATTAGAATCCCATTAACACCAAAGACTTACCTAATACCTAATTCTTCTCCCCCCACCCCAAAACAGTGTTCTTCCTGATTATTCTAATTTTGATCAAGGTATTAACATTTTCCAGTTTCTCCTAGTCTGAAACTCTGAAGTTATCCTTAATTATTCTTTCTCTCTTGTGCTTCTACACCCTGACCCTTCTCTCAACTCACCCCCAACACACACAATTGTCAAGACTTTTATGTTTTGTCTTCAAAATGCTTTCCCTTTGCTCACCTTGCTCAGCCCCGTGTGTCCTGACTCTGAGCTTTAACTGCCCTTATCTAGATTCTAGTCCTCTCTCCATGCTCAGCCACCCAGGATATTCCTACAAGTCAGTTCTGAACCTGTCAGGCTCTGTTCCACAAACCTTGAATGACATAACTCCTTTCTGACTCCCAGAAAGAGAGCTCCTCTAGCTGACATTTAGGCCCTCAGGACTCTGGCATGATCTGTCTCTTCCCTACCTGTCCCCTCTTCCTAGTGTTCTAAATGTGGAACACCCAGAAACCCCTTCCATTCCCCATCACCACTGAAATTTCACCCACTTTCAACCCAGTCTAAAGGTCATCTCTTGGCTTTGGTGTGTAGGCAGGGGAGTACTGAGTAGACAGTATGCAGTTCCAGCTTGCTGAGCTGGTCACCCCACCATACCCAGGAGGTCTGATGAACTGATGGATACCAACTCAAGTTGCTCACCCAGATGGTGTGYTGCAGCCCTTGACTGGGCCCAGCCATCCTTCACTTGAGATGCACATGTCAGGTCACTGTGCCTCTGGTCCGAAGCTGGCAGGGAGAGCTGTCCCATGAATGGCAGAAGGGAGCTGAAAACATCCTCTCATGCTGGAATGAAAGCAAAACCAAAACAGAACAACTAACCAAAAAGCTCAGCAAAGACTCATATAATATTCTGCATTGACATTGCAAGTGTGAATTCAGTGAGGGGGAATGAGGAAAGCAGACTGTCTTGGAGGTTATTTAGGGTGTCAAGAGTTTGCATGGACATTGGGCTCCATCTGAACCAGCAGAGGGAGTTTCAAGAGTTTGGATGGACATTGGGCTCCATCTGAACAAGCAGCCAAGAGAGTGGATGTCATGGTAGGTTTTGTGATGGAGATGAGGTATGTGGGGCAAAGGAAATGGCCATACCCCCGTTGCCCACCCATGCTGGCCAGGGATTGAGGTCTGATTGGGCAAGTCATGTCAAGGAGGAATGGACAAACTGGAGCAAGCCCCAAGGTGGATCATATCCACAACACAGGGTGGTCTTGAAATCAGGACAACTGAGGCACAGTTGAACATTTGGCTGAAAAGAAAAGTTGGAAGGAACATGAGAGCCATGTTCACACACTCAAAGGGCTGTGCCCAGCTTTTTGAAGGGAGTTTATCCTGCTCTGTGGCTAAGGAAGGCAGAAATGGGGTCACTGAATAAAAACATTCTAGATTTTAGAAATAACGTTCATTGCATCTGTGCATCTGTGTGGTACAATTATGGGAGAATTTTCATTTTTCTCCTTTACTTTTTTACCATGAATATTTTCTTACTTATGATTTATGGAAGTATGTGTTTTGAACTGGAGTGGACTTTTGGGGGTTTGGGCAGTTCAACACCTATTTCTCCTGCTTCTGGTCTTTGTCTCCTGATTTTACTTTGGGGAGCATCCCGACACACAGTCTCAGTGGTTTTGGGGGAGCTGGCCCACCCCCAACTCCAGGGGTGTTCCTGTAACCCAGACCTGGCTTCTCAGTGTACTCCATCCCTGGCCACAGTGATGAGACTGGGTCCCAGCCTGACCTAAGCTGGGCTTATGAGAGTTGCCCAAGACTAGTAGGAAAGATGCTCTTTTTGACCTCAGTCACTAAGCAGATAGAAGCTCTTAGCTAGAGTGCCTGTCTTGCCCTCACAAGGGGAAAGCCTGTCTGAACAGGAAGAGAAGACTGAGGAAGGCCCAGCCGGGAGAGAGTGGATTGTGTCATTTGAGCCTCTACATCCAGCCTTGCCTAAAGCCAGATCTGTCTCCAGGACATTTTAGTTAGATGAGCATTCAATCACCTTTTGCATCAGCCAGGTTGTCAGTTTTCTGTCTCATACCCAAGGCAGCTCTGAGGACTACTGACTAATACAGGTTTTGTCTGTTGCTTGTCCTAACAATGTTGGGGCTGTTTGGCAACAGAATGACTAGAGATAGCGAAGAAAGGTCACAAAATGCCTGATTGGTTAAGGATCCTGAGAGTGACTCTGGAGGAAAGGGCCTTAGATGTACTTTCAAACTCTGAGCCTGTTCCAGTTTCATTGGTGAATACTTCTTCTCCCCTCTGGAACATCCTGTGTCCTTTCCCAGGCCCCCTTCACTCTGAACACATCTCACAAGCTAACCTGTGCCAGAGCTTCTACCGCCATGTCCTACTAGCCCTATTAAGTCGTGACCTCATTTAGTAAATGTGGACTCTGAGTTTTCTTTCTTAACTCTATTAGTGTTTATAGGAAGAAAGGGAGGAAAGGAGAAAAAGAAAAGAAAAAAGAGGAAAGAAAAAGATGTTACTTTTCATGGTATTTTAAGCATTTCATTGTGAAGCTCCCTTCATCTTTTAATCAATTCTTGATTTGTAGTCATTCCTTGTTGTGTTTGCTACATTTTACAGTCCAAAATGCTCCCCTGTGTCATTCTTTTTTTTAAAAAAAAATTAAATCTGTAGATGACAGTGCTGTTTAGATGTCCTGTACTGGAAGGTTTGGAACTCCGGTTCCACCCTCTCCTGACTTATTCTTCCTGTTTACCTTTCTGTTGACTGGTGATCTTATCCCTTTCCTTAATAAGTCTTCTTTATCAGAAGGAAGTACTCAGACCTACAAGTATTAAGATCTTAGTATCAGGGGACAATTGTGGAGAATCCTTCCAKAAGTATTTAGACAAGTGACACTATTGTCTAACTTTCCAAAGGAAAACCAGATAATGAGAATGTCCTCCCCAGCAAGTTATAGAAGCAAATAATCTGCCTAAGATAAGGCTTTTCTGTTTGGGTTTTTTTTTTTTCATCAGAGATTTGACATAAAAAAAAAAAACTTTTTTTAAAAACCCACCCTAGATACTTTCTATCTTTTATTAGTTGGAAGTTTTTTTGTTTTTTTTTTTTTTTTTGTCTAGACATTTCTTAAGCAGTTCGAATGGTGCTGAGTTTATTGTGACAGGTCCAGCTGGCCCAGATGCTCCCCAAAGGGCCTCTGCATTGCAGCACATTTAAAATAGTAGTCGCTGCCTCCAGGGATGAGATGTTTAAGGGAATGATACCGCCTGTCTCTGCATTTAAGCACTTGTATTTAATTATTACTGAGAACCCATGTGTACAGCTCTCTATTAAGCTCTGTGAGAGAAGAGGCCATGCCATGGGCACTGTCCTGGCTCTAGGAGGTCATAATTTAAATAGACAGGATCTATGTGCAACATACAACTTCYCTTGAGCTGGAACCTGAAATCAGGGCTTCTCTGCCCTAACCACACATTACCATCACATAGAGAGATTTAGAAAGAGTAGGAATGCCTAAGCCTCATGTCAGACAATTGAATGAGAAATACCTCGTTTCTCAGACCTCAGATATTAATATTCTTAATCTCTCTCCCCATATGATCATAAGGTGCTATCAACTTTGAGAAACTTTGGCCTAAATCCTACCTGTCTCTAAACAGAGGGACCAGTTTTCTCTCCCTGATTCCTCAACCAGAAAGAAGAATTATTATTGATTGTTCTAAAGGTCCTTGTGTTTCCATCAAAGCGACAGGCAGACCAAGGAAACCAGACTGAGTCCTCTTTCCAGAAACATCAAGGAGGAGGAGAACATGGCAGGAGAGGCAACACATTGCAGCCCCTGCCCACTCCTGGAAGTTTCTTTACCCAGTATGGAAAGACAAGGGCCAATCAGCCAGGCCTTACATGAGAGCTTAAAAGTCATGGTCAATCCAAATACAACTCAACCTTCAGACTAACCATGTATTTCCTGGCAGCCCCATGAATTGCTTGAAAGTATCTCTGTTCCTAAACATGGGATCCAGTAGTTATCTGGACCCAAATGAGAAGTACATTTCACTTCACCGACCTGGAATCTTCCAGAAGCCACAGAGGCTGTCCTAGATTTTAGCCTCCTAGGCTTCCCTCTTTTGACCATGTTTCCATCTAGTGCAGGTGCGGAGCCCTGTCTCAGGAGGCGGGCTGGACCACTGTGTCCCAGAACAGACATTCTTAGGCACTGACGCTCCTCCTGGCTGGGAGATGAGGCTGTCTTGATTAAAGTTGTCTTTTATTTCCCTTTGTCTGGGTGAGCCCATTCGGCCAGCGCTAATCCACTTGTCCAAAGGACTCTAACCTAATCGCCAGCACTTGCAGCCAAAGCCTCTAATGCCCTGACCCATCTTTGTAATTGTTCTGACCAATATATCTGCCTCCTCTCACTGACAGCTCAGGCCAGGCCAGGCTCCAAGCTGTCCCTCAGAATGTGATTAATCAAGAACATCAGAGCAGGGGAGACGCAGACTGGAAACTTTTTATATTGCTAGGGGGGAGAKAAAGCCAACTCTGAGCAAGAGAGACGTAAGCTTCCAAATCATTGTTCCTAAGGGTACATGCAGGATGCTTTGTTCAGAAGCTAGCAAACTCTCTGCGGCTCCAGAGGCAGTCCAAAACCTGACTCAGGGCCTACTGTTTCCTCGCAACAGAAAATTCCTGTCCTCAAGCCCACTTAGACACCAAATTTCAGAGTGATACAGGCCTTCCCCAAAGGGTTTCAGCATCACAAAAGCTTCTCCCTGGATCCCAAGTTATGTTTTCTGAGAAGCAGTGACACCTGGTACTTTAGTCCTTTGACTGCCTCCAGAATGTGTCAGCCCTGGGCCTAAGGGGCGCGATCAGACCATGAGATCACCTTCTGTTCTCGGTTCTCCTGTCATGTAACTCCAAGGCTTATGATTTTAAATGTCAAGAACTCTTCCAAATTCTACTGCCAATTAAACCTACCATTCTCCTTTCTTCATGGGGTACGTGATGACCGCAAACATCAGCCTTTTCAGAATTATACACAGGCTGCTATCATAGGGGACCTTTAAGACAGATCATTCCAGTGGGTGTGCATGTCTCCAAACTTGTGCTGTCCRCAACCTAGACACCAGACAGGCATGCACTGTGTCTTTAGAGAGCTCTGGAGCAAGTGTCCAGGGTTCCCATGAGCCACGTTCCCATGAGCATTTGGCACCAAGCTGCAGAACAAGGTCTTTATCAAGTTTAATGTGGATGAATTTTAAGACATGGTGGCWATGAAATGGCTCATCTCAGTGGCTATGGGGTCAAGTACATCCTCCATCATAGCCCTGAACCAGTAGGAGGCCCTGTTCTCCTGAGGGCTTCTACAGCACTCTCTTCCTTCTTCATGCCCATCAATATGACCTACTTCCAGTAAAAAATAACTCCTCTAGTAGATTTTGCCCTTCTTTGCCCTCTTTTTGAATGAGCTTAGAAGGGGTGTGGAAATGCCACCCCTTGAACCCGTGCTTACAGAGAGCGTTCCCATGAGCCTCAGTGGCAGGAGCAGGAAGCTGCTTTCCTGGCAGAGGCAGGGAATATGGCCCATAAAGTCCCCGTGGACAACGCTAGCCATGTCTTCTTGCTCATTCCACCTGGGTCACCAAGTTTCTACTCCACTTCAGTTCTTACCAGAGTAGGTACTRGACTCTACACTTTAAGGAATAAAAGCCGAGTAAGGGGGCTGGGTTGTGGCTCAGTGGTAGAGCGCTCACCTAGCATATGTGAGGCACTGGCCTCCATTCTCAGCACCACATACAAATAAATAAAATAAAGGTCCATTGACAACTATATATATATATTAAAAGAAAAAAATCCGAGTAAGCAGCAAGCCCACTCACCTCTGGGGCTCCTGTGGGGCACCCCAGGGATCCGAGTAAGCAGCAAGCCCACCCACCTCTGGGGCTCCTGTGGGGCACCCCAGGGATCCGAGTAAGCAGCAAGCCCACCCACCTCTGGGGCTCCTGTGGGGCACCCCAGGGGCAGACTGTGTGGAGGGTCATAATACCCACGGCTACTGGGCTTGTGTATCAGCAGCAGGGCATTGATGTCAACATGGACCTAAAAAGAAATCTCACACCTTCAACTCAAGCAATTACAAAAGGAGAAATTCCTCCTTCTGATTCAGTCTCAGAATGAATCCGGAAAATGGACTTTTCCTCCCCACTTTTGCTGTTTGTCTTCTCTGAGAGCAGCCCTTCCAATCTGACCCTCTTCCTGTCCACTTTCTCTGGGCTTGTCTGGTCCCCTCTGCTGGATTTTGTGCCTGGCTAGACCACTCAGGGCCAGGATGTTTTTCTTCTTTAAGAGAATCCTAGGAGTTTTATGCAAGAGTGTGAGAATTTCTCCTTCACTGCGACTGTAGAAGGCAAAGCGAGGCCGAGACCTAAATAGAGGGAGACTCAGAGCCCTTCTCCCAGCTCTCCAGATGTATCATTTGGAATAAAGATGAGCTAAGGCAGAAGGGCAAAAGATGTTCTTTTGTTAATTGAAAGCAGTTGGGCAGAATAATAAAAGTCTTACAATTTATTTATTTTTTTATTGGTTCTTTTTATACATGACAGAACAATCCATTGTGACATAATTATGGAAACATGGAGTGCATCTTGTTCTAATTCAGATCCCAGTACCTCCACTTCCCCTTTGCTCTCCCCACTCTCTGCTCTCTTCCTTCTATTGATCTTTCTGCCATTTACTCATAGTTATTTTTTAAGTTATTTTCTTATAGATGTATATGATGGTGAGATTCACTGTGGTATATTCATATATGTACACGGGAAAGTCATGTCAGATTCATTCCACTGTCTTTTCTTTTCCCATCCCCCTCCCTTCCCTTCATTCCCCTTTGTCTAATCCACTGAACTTCCAATCCATCACCCACCCCCTGCCCTTTTGTGTGTTAGCAACCATATATCAGACAAAACATTCAGCCTTTGGTTTGGGGGGGATTGGCTTATTTCAGTTAGCATGAGAGTCTCCAGATCCATCCATTTACCAACAAGTGCCATTAAAAAGTCTTATAATTTATAAAGCACCAAAAAATTTGCATGAACACAAAGAAATATGGAAAACCATTCTAGATTTCATTAAAAAAGGATTAGAGAAATATAAATAGGACTTTTTCTATTTTTTATTGGTGCCTTACAGTTGCATGTAAAGGTGGGATTTGTTGTTACATATTTATACATGTACATAATATAAATATATAATTTGACCAATATCATTCCATAGTACTTCCCCTTTCCCTCTCTTCCTCCCTCCCCTGGTCTCTTTCCTCTACTCTACTGACCTCCCTTTGAATTTCATGAGATGCCCTCAACAACTTTCTTTTCCTCTTTCCTCTATACCTTCCACATATAAGAGAAAACATACTATCCTTGACTTTCTGAGTTTGGCTTATTTTGCTTAACATAATGTTCTCAAGTTCCATCCATTTTCCTGCAAATAACATAATTTTATTATTCTTTATGACTAAAGACAATGTCATTGTGTATATATATAACACTTTCTTTATCCACTCACTCATTACTAGATACCTAGGCTGGTTCCATAGTTTGGCTCTTATGAATTGTGCTGCTATAAACATAGGAATGCATGTATCAATATAGTATGCTGATTTTAATTCTTTAGGCTAAATATTGAGGAGTRGTATASCTGGGTAATATGGTATTTCCCTACCTAGTCTTTTGAGAAAACTCCCTACTGATTTCCATAGTGCTTGTACTAGTTTACTAATTTATCACCCCACCACAGTGTTTATTATAATTTGTAACCATGATGKCTACCATTCTAACTGGAGTGAGATAAAAATCTTAGTGTAGCTTTGGTATGTATTTCCCTCACTGCTAAAGATGTGAACATTTTTCATGTATATTTTGGCCATTTGTATTTTCTTCTTTTGGAAAGTGTTTAGTTAGTTCCTTTGCCCCTTTATTAATTGGGTTATTTGGATTTTGGGGATTTTTTTGTTTGTTTGGTTTGGTTTGGTTTTTGTTTTGGGTATTAGGTTTTCGAGTTCTTTATATATTCTGGCTGCCAGAAGAGTAGCCAGAAAAGATTTTCTTCCATTCTATATGTTTTCTCTTCACATTCTTCAGTGTTTCCTTTGCTGTGCAGAAGCTTTTTAATTCAATGCCATCCCATTTATTAACTCTAGTCATTATTTCCTGAGCTTTAGAGGTTCTACTGAGAAAGTTGTTGCCTGTACCCATATGTTAGAGTATTAACTCTATATTTTCTTCTAGGAGTTGCACAGTTTCTGGTCTAATCCCAGGTCTTTGATCCATTTTGAGCTGACTTATGCAGAGGGTGAGGGAGAAGAATCTACAGAGGTTCTTGCACTCAACTTTCCAGTGAAGCCCCTCAGCTCTGCTTTGTTTTTGTCCACAGAAGTGCTATCAAAGAGAGATCATCTTTGGCCACACGGGTCCTATGTTCTGGCTGCAGGAGTCCTCTCCCTCTTTGTTCTCAACCTATTCTCCAGGGGAAGGTTTTAGTGGTCTCCCCAGTCTCGATTCAATGTTTGCTAACTTCAGACCTATTTCCTTTCTTCGACCAGTTTTTTTGTACAAATATTTTAAACCAAGCTGTTAAACCTTGACTGCACCTTAGAATCACCCTGAGAGTTTTACAGACCAGCACCTGGGTCCCACGCCAGAATTCAGATTCCATTGGTTTGGGATGAGCCCAGGCACCGCCTGTGTGAAGCTTCTGGTAATGGAATGTCCAAGGAGGCCTAAAGCCTCTGTTGAAGGGCTGAGGCTTGGGTTTCCTCTCCGTATACTTTGCTTCCTCTCCCTCTTTGGCTTCTATGCGCTGTCCAGTCACTATGGCTCAGAACTGAGGCAGGACAACTTCAAAACAATGTCTCTCCCTGATTGAAGCAGTGTTCAGGGACCTGGTCCCTGGCCCAAATTTTATCCTTAGTGTCACCAGGCCCCAGGAGAAATGCTACCCTTAATTCTACTTAGTGCTGTGAAGACATAATCACACTCTTGTATTCTAACAAGCCACACAATGGGGYTGTTACTCCATGTAAGTCTTGGGCATGTGTGACACTCCGGATGTGTCTTGTTCCATTTATTTTTGTCCTCTTTCCCTGCTCCTCAGCAGGTGTTTTTTTTTTTTTTTTTAACTTAAAGAAAAAAAAAGCTTCAAATATATATAAAAAACACTTTATTTTTCATGTTTATTTGATACAATTTTTGTTAGTTATTCTTTTAAAGATGCCTTTCTCTCTGAAAAAAAAAAAAAAAAAAGAAAAGAATTGCTCTAGATGGCCCACCTCCAGATGCTAGAAGCAGGCAGAGGTGGAGAGTGCTGTGCTAGGAGTGACCAGGTGACCTGGGTCACTTCCAGTCATTTGCTAGTCATATGCCCTGGTACAAAAGCCACTGATGCCCCTTCTCCCTTCTCTCAGTTATCCACAGGTTCCTGTGAGAATCAGATAAGCCAGTATTTGAGAATGTGGTCTGGGAAAACATGTACATTTTAATCTTTCCATAACAGAATTTTTCCATCCTTTTTCTCTGAGTTATTCTTTTGATCTCTTTGGAAGCTTTGCTTACACTCATGGGATGGGAGCGCTTGCCAGGCTATAGGAAGTTTTTCTTTTGCTGGGAAGGATGTTCTGCCATTCGTCTGCTGCTTTCTGGAAATTCCATTTCAGAAGGAAGCCCTGGTGAGGTTCCATCCCGACATCTGCAAATCACATCCAGAGGGAAAATGTGACTCACCCGAGTTACTGTGTTAAGTGTTCATGGATATTATTCAGGGAGTAGGTGTTGTCTTTGGGCCAAATCACTTGAAATCATGACATCAGCCCTGTCACTGACTGACTATGCACCCACGGGAAGCATGGAGAAGGGTGGGCAATGGGGCAGGAGGTGAGAAAGGCCGCTTTCCTGGCCTTCCTGAAGTATTAGAGATAATGTAGTCAGAATATGAGGCAGTCCCTGGCGTTGGGTAGGAGAGCAGTGAAGGAACCCACCAGCCACAGTGCTCTCATCAATAACGTTACACAAAAATACAACTGCTAAGATGACTCAGCTCCTTGTGGAATGAGGAGAGACACAAACAAACCCCAGTTTAAGCTGCATGGATGGTAAACACATGGAATCCTTGCTCCCCACTTCTTTCTAGGGTACATCTCACCTAGCAAATGATCATTGCATAATTTGCTGATGATTCTGGAATGAAACTCCAGAATTCTTGACCTCGCTTATGCAGCTGCTACCAATCAACCCAAGAGGCCAGTGGCCACAAAACTGTCAGACCTTCCCAGAACAAAGGTTTCAGTAACCTAATCAATGTCTGCATGGCATTTGAGCAAATGCTCAGACCACATCATTACTGTTGGCATATTCCTTCTCCCCTTCCACATCAATGCCGTCCATGGACATGGCATCATGACATAGATTTGAGTTATTTTCATTGAAAGGCACTTTAATTTTGATACAGGACTCTGCCAGGGTTGTGGGGCCCTTTGCTCCATGAGTTTGAGCTTTGTTTCAGTGGCTAAACCTTTTTCCTAATGACTTCAGCCTACTCTTTTCATTTATCCTCCAGCCTCAATCACAACTGAACACATTTCAAGAACAGGGATGCTCTGTGCATTGCCCCTCTCGTCCCTCCCCAATAATAGGAGCGTGATGCCACACATCCAGTTCAATATCTTGATGGATTATTGAATCCATGGGCACAGACTACTGACATTGAGGGGGACTCTAGGGGAAAGCATCTGATAGGCAGTTCTACAAGAAATTCAAAGAATCAAGGGGACGGGACGTTCCTGCAGAGAGAATGGCATTTCTTACTGAAGGTAAAATATATTCAATAGCAAAAAGGAGTTCATCATATTTTGATTTATCCTCTTGATGCAGTAGCTTGGAAAGGAGCAACTAACCAGTTATCCAAGTTGTTCTCCTCCTCTTCCACCTCTTTCTCTTCCTCTTGGCTTGGTGGCCTCAGTCCTGGGAAGTTGGGCCACTCCACAGAGTTAGTAGCTATTGTGCAGATAAAAAGAGTAGGCTGTGAAGGGCTTTCTGGTCCTTGAAACAATGAAACTCAGACCCCCCTCCTGTAGTGTTGGGCTTTTCTAAGATAGCTTAGCAGGTTGTAGATAATACAGCCATCCAAGCTGGGGGCCAGAGATGTGACCACTCGTCCTCTTGAAGAAGATTCTTGGGAAGCCTTCTCCCTGCCTGACAAAGACATCCCACCCTCTGCTCATACCAAGCCCTCTCCATTGTGCAAGTCAGAAGAGAATAGGTTGTTAAGGTATAGGTAGATGGTAGATAGATGTGGTGCAAGGAGAAACAATAAAAAATAAATGAATAAATGAATGAATGAAATAAAAATTCTAAATTTGATTACAAAACATCATTTCTAATTATTCCCATGAACTCTGTGCTACAAAGAATAGCGGACCCAGTAAAATTGGAGAAACCCAACAGGCCTGATCCATCACTAAGCACAGATTGCTCCATGGAAATAAGCAAACTTCCCAGGCAGCACTCTGTCCACTTCTCACCGGGCAGCCAAGCCAACATAGAGTGGAGCCATGATGGCTGCCCTAGGCTTGCACTGTTGGTATGTGTATGGTAGTAGCTTGGTCCAATATGAAACTGAATGAATACTACAAGACTCAAATTCAGATTGATATGTTAGTGCCCATCTCAGCAACCACTGTGGTCAACAGAGATTACCAGAGCAGGGTGTCTCTAAAGCCAGCAAAATCAAAGACACCAAATGTTATCCCAATTTTAACAGAAGCATGAGAAGACTGACCCGAGAAGTAGGCTGGGAGTAGAACCCCACCTAGGATGGAATGGGGGTCTTGAACACCCAACTTWGCTCTCAAGATCTACCTGCATGGAGATGTGGAACACAAAATCTGAAATTCTATCCCAATGGCACTAGTGACTCCAACCCCAGCTTCAGCAGTCTTTATGTTCTAGAAAGGATGGAAATCAAGACCTGAGGTGCAAAAAGAAAGGAATCGAAGTGATCTCTCTTTTGGTGTGGCTAAGATCCTTATTTATATTTATGTTTTGGAAATAGAGAAGGTGGACATAGGTGCAGCATGGAGGGATGACACTGATGAGGAGGGATGGAAATGCAATTAGCCTTTCTGCTCCCGAACAAAGGAGGTTGGCCCTGGAATTAGTTCTGCTTTCCCAARTACAACCAGTCGACACACGCCAGCCTGGTCTGGGTGATACTGCACCACATACAGCATAGACAGCCCCCAAGGATCTTCTCTGACTTCTCAGGAGTACTACGCCACCCCAATAAGTGAATGCTGTTATAGAATAGCCTCCCACTCCTTAAGAAAGTAGTCTCCTCAGTCTCCCTGACCAGGATTGGATGGGTTTGACTAATCTGAAAAAACTTTTTGATTCTGATGTCCTTTGATGCCACTTCCTGAAGGAAGATTCTTCTAATTTGATCTCATCCTCTCTCTCATCTTCCGTCTGAGTTTGGTGCCTCTCCTTGGTACTTCCTAATGACTTGCCTACTGTGTGTCCATCAATACGCTGTGAGATTGCTGAGGGCAGGATTGTATTTAGTTCCTGATATGACCCCAGGTCTAATTTGGAGCAAGGTTCATACCATGGTTCCTTAAATATTTCTGGAAAGCAAAAGTGGTACAGAATGATACCCATCCAGATTTGTCTAGGACTCTTCTGGTTTTAGCACTGAAAGTCCTGCAACCTGGAAAATTCTTCAGACTTGGATGAACCAAAGTGATTGGACACCTTACCCAGAAGACAGAGGGAGGCATGAGAAAGCATAAGAAAATAAAGAGGGAGGAAAGAGTAATTAAATTAAGTCCAAATGGGCCTAAGCTGAACCTTCATTTGCTCTGATTTGCTGGCATGAGAAGGATCCTGCCTTCCCACCAAGGAGGTAGCAGCTGAGTAACAGGTGAGTTACTGCGAACTGTGGGGACACTCAATGATCTCATCGCTATAAAAAAGCAAAGGGACATTGGGCCAGACTATCCAGTCATAACGAATCCTGGAAATAGAATCGTGATGTTCATTTTGAAGGCATATGTTGAGAACCTACCCTTTGTCAGGTTCTATTCTAGATGCTGAGAATTCAACAGAAATAAGAACAGGCCCTGCCTTCCCAGAGTCCAGAGGAAGCAGGACACATCGAGGAAATGTCCCACATGCATCCTGTTTCATGCTTGAGGGTGAAGGACTGCACACACAGCTGATGCACAGAGTGGACAGTTGTCTGCTGCATTGGCACCAGCACTATCCTAGGAATCCTAAAGGACAAGGTGTTGCAACCCCTTAGAGCAGGCCTTCACCATGCATCCCTGTATCTGTAAAACCCACAGAGTAAGAGGGCTATTTGCCCATTTTTAAGCAACAGCCTTCCCAGAGGGCCACTGAAAGGATCACCAGGCCCGTGGCTTAAATTAGATTTGACATCATGTCCAGGTGGACATGAGACTGCTGTTGGCCAGACACCAGCAGGAGGTCCAGAGAAGAGGAAGGACACAAGGTTTTCACTGAGCTCAGGGCAGATGGAGCTAATCCCCCAGTTGATAATCTGCCTACTCCTTCCGAAACTCTCCATTTCAAATGCCCCAAGGACCAGTGGCCAGGCAGCTGTCTCATAGCCCAGAGACATGGGCTGTGCAACTGGAAACAAGGCCGGCGTCCTGCCCCCATTTTATTTTACTCCTGATTTTCCACTCTTAGCAACAGATCATGGCCTCGTGAGAATTGTGTTGGTAACTTTTTATGATGAACCATTGAATACAGACTCTGCACACATTGAGTGTGGAATAGACAGACCCTCTGCCTTGGTTGGTCTTGAACCTATCATGAGGTTCAATTTTCAAAGATCTGACACTTTGTCAGTTTGAAGCAATAATTTTTGGCTGATTTTCTCACTAAAACTTCCACTGAATCCCTACCTTCCAGGGCACATTTAGGGAATATTATTATTTTATGGCAAAGAGAAGTAGCTCATTCCTGAGGTGTTTCAAAACTCAGAAATATTGTAGGAAGCACATTGTTTTGTGGATCAGAGAAAAACAGACATGGATTAAGTCTCAGAATTTAAATGGTCACCATGCCTATAAACTATATTTCCTTTAATATAGTTATTAAATATTTTAACTCATTCATAGAATTTCTCCTCCTTTTTTCCTTCCCTCCCTCATTTCCTTGTCTCTGGCCATGATGTGAAGGTATGGCAGTGAAACATGACTTGTTTTCTTCTGAGAATTTGCAAGTCATTGGGATGGATTGCTATTACAAGCAAAGACTTGGAGCTCAGCTTCTTAACAAGCAGACTCATAGCTGAAGCCTCCCTCAACCATCTGCCCACTACCTCCCATGTTAACAAATTATTTAAACACAGCATGCTAAGTGGACAGGGAAATAACTGGGAGGCCTGGCAGGAATAGGAAAGAAGTAATCAGGAAGGCTTCATGGAGGAAGAGATATTGAGTTGAAATTTTGAAGTATGAATTAGGAGTATACAATGCAATGAAACTTCCACAACTTGTTTTGTAACCCATGATTAAGACAGGTCAAAAATATGAAAAAGCAAGTTTATATCAGGGGTTTGGCTTTAGGATCATCAGAGGAATTTGATATATATATATATATCAGCCAGACTGGGAGACTTTCTACCACCATGCAAAATTTGTATTCACATTGAGATTGCTGCCCTTGAGATGCTGTAAGACCCCATGTTCCCCATCTGTAATGGAGATGAGAGAAAAAAAAAAGACTTTGGCTTCATTTACAGTTAACTAGAAATTTCCATTAACCAAAATGCCCCATTCCCCAAGCTGGCTGGCTAATTGAGGTTTTGCTGCATCTGGGTTTGGTTTCACCGCCTCTTCTGTTACTCGGAGGCCCTCCTTTCTTTCTGGGTTCCTGTGCTCCCGTCTCTGCTGAAGCATTTTCTTCTCCTCTGTTCTCCTCTCCGCCCTCTCAGCTGTCAGCGCCTGACTCAGCCAGGGCTGTGTGGGAACCCCGAAGGAGGCTCATCATCGCTTTCCTCCTCCCTGGAGCCGGTACACCTCGTTCCTCCTCAGCTGACCACTCTCGCTGCAGCTATTTTTGTGGGTGAGGCCATAGCTGAGACTCCAGGCAGAATATAAAAAGCAGTCCACAGGGCATGGATGGCCAGGGAGATTCATGTTTCCCAGGGAGGCGACTGGAACTTTGACAGGACCCAGCTGGCTGAGGCGGTGAGCTGGAAGTGGATCCAGCCCTGGGGTGAGGAAGAAGAGGAGGAGGGTCTTTAAATAGCAGGTGGCTTCGCTGTTTCTATAAATGAAAACGGTTCGTTTTCACTGAACACTGATTACAGAGATGGCCTTTTATGAGACAGCCCTAAGGACCCCTAGGACAGCCCCTGAAGC